AGAGTTTGTTTGGAAGGGGACAGCAGGTCACCTTGCAGTTTGTTGGTCTGAGTAGGGATGGACAATTTTTCCAAAAATGTTTTATTCAGCCCTTCAGGACCTAAAGGGCTGAAGTGAGAAAGCCTGTCTTAGCTTTGTTAACAGTAAACTACAGGGCTTTAACGATCTGAAAATTGTTTTAAGTTGCAATTATATTACAAATGCAATTAATTAACTTGCCCTGGTCTGAATTACAGGAAGAAACAAACTCTGGTCCATTTAAAGGTGAGCAAATGTGGCAGATGTGAATACACCCTTACAGACATCTTACCAAAGTAAGAAACATGACTGGATGGAGGATGGCTGAAACAAGTTGCTCCAGGTCCAGAGTGAAGTTTCCATCTTGCTCACAATTTGTGGAGCCACGTTATTCGCCCATGTTTGTCTCAAGAGTTTTAACTTATCCAAAGTAATAGCAGCCATTTATTGGAAATCACAGTACTTCATTCTTTCTTCTGCTGATAAGCTTTATGAAAATAATTTATTTTTTCCTGCAGGACGTAGAGAAGCTTCAGTAACCATGGTTCCACTGTGCCTGGATGCTTGGAGAGCTAATCTTATCTAAACACCATAAAGAATCTACAGTGGTTTTAAACTCACACTGCAGCTTTTAGATGATTTTAGATTTACTTTAAGATCCCAATATCTAGTCCAATGTGTAATAATAAACACTGAATGTGTCCCAACTGGGTCCCTGCCTCCTTGTAGCTGATCTCCTGGGACTTCTTTTGGTAATCCACCTGTTGTATGATTGTTTATCTATATATTATCTATATATTATATAGTTATCTATATATTAAATACATAGGACAAATCTATTACCGGTAGTAAGATTCTGTTTATAATGGTATTCATCTCTATAGTTATTCAGTAGAAACCCATGTCCTGAATTTAAGGAGCCATTATTTATTCTGCACTTGCTTCTATTGCACTTTTGGTTAGACTTAAACTGCATTTTGTTGGCTTGTCCCTCTACCTGTGTAATGACAATAAAGTTGAATCTAATCTAATCAAGAAATGTGGAGATTTTATTTAAAGCACAAGCTGTGTTTAACCTAATGTTTGAAATAAAACAAAGTTTATGTTACATAATCTGGATGTGTTGGTAGAAGTCCCAATCTAACAGGTCAGATTAGCCGTCAGTAGAAGCTGGCTTCTGATCCGACCTGACCTGTAAAACTCATCCACCATGCGGCGCTGTTTACACACCTGCTTCCCTCAGTCACCGAAACTCCTTCATTTCAATTAGATTCTCATTTCCATGGTGACTTTATTTAGTTTCATATTCAAACACAAACAGGGAATATGACAGCAGGGGAATCAGCGGCATCGACAATGTCCCACTTTTACCGTAACTCAACAAAACAACAAGTGGAGAGCTTTCACATTACAGTACGTTCCCAGCAGATCCAGAAACCTCTCGATTGTGGAATGTAATATGACCAACATAATCTACATTCTGTTGATAAGTGGCTCTAATTTCCTTGTTAGTGATTGGCTGATCTTATCGCTAATGGGATTTTTAATGCGTTTCTATTTGCGGTCATTGAGAGCAGAGAGCACTCAGTGACATCAGTGTCTTTTGCAAGAGCTGCACAAAATGTAGAAAATGTTATTTGTGGGAAAAAAAACATGTTTTAGTCCAAAATAATAGAATTAGCTTTTGTCTCTTCTTTTTATTTGAGATTGTCTGACAAACATTTTTTTTTAATTAAAAATTTTTCACAAACTAACAATAAGTCTTAAATCACTGAATTAATTTTTGCATGAGCTGCTGTATATTTTCTAGAGTAAAAGCCGTAGAAGTTCTAAAGAGAACAACCATTTAGGAAAAGTTCAGTCTCTCTTACAGGAGGAGGAGGACAACTACAGAACAGATCTAGCATTTATTGAATAGTTTGATAAATTTTTTCTTTATATAAATATTTTATTTAAAGTGAGGAAGCAGAAAAACGTGAGCAGGGATTTCAAGAAAGTGTTAAATAAAGCCTAACAAATAAAGAAACAACACTGTAAAAACGACAACTCAAAAAGATTTTTGCATTCACTGACGCTAACATT